TTGCGGGGTGCGGTGCTGCCCAAGACGCGGGCTGTAGGAACTGTCCGCTAGGGTTGTCAAGTCACAGAAATAAATTAAAATGATTCACACCATATGCGGTAAAAACTGTGGGTCATCCTCGTCGATAGAAATTAAAGTTTTATCAGTTTCTTATTTTTCTATTACTTCCCGTTCTTACAACCCTAGCAATTTATTGCTTATGTCGGCTTTTCCGTTAACATCAAACGCGATGACTGTATGTTCTTCTTCGGCTCTTAGGCTGTGACTATACTATAGAAGATGACGAAAAATAAAAGTAGGTATGTTTCAGAATTTTAAAGGAATATTTTTTGCTGCTTTGAGCCTTATTAACAGTCTCAAATGCTGACTATGTCGTGAGACTTGCACAATAGATAGTTAGCCTTTATTAATATATAGTATTTTCGCCTACTTTAATTTTTTTAATCATGGTATGCAGATTCCTTATATAGTAAGGTATTATATTATATAGTAGGTTTGGCAACCCTAGTTAGGACGAGTGCTCCTATTTTAGCTCGCTTTTTCTGAGGGCCTCTTAATCGAGTCTGTATCTATGATTAAAGTGAAATACATAATGAACCGAAGTAGCTATTTTACGCTGGCATTTTGTGAAAACGTGGTCCTTCTCGGTCAAGCCGACCTATGGCCTGAATTCCTCCTACGCTGACGTCGGTTGCGTACGGTCGGTCGCGTACGTCAGCGAGAAATAAAATACCATAGTGTGATACCGAATAATTATGATTATTAACATTGTCTTTTACTTACCGATCTCCTTTTTGTACTATCGTTGTCATTATTGCAATCCGGAAATAAAACCTCCAAACTTCTAGCCAGTATTTTGCTCCCGCATCTTTGTACAAATCATTAGGTAAATAAAACTTGCTGTATCGATATTCATTGCAACTGTACGTGCACGCGTGGATCGTCGGTAATAGAGTGAGGCCGCTCGCACTATTCCACGCTTGTCAGTCTACTGACGCGCGACGCACGCGCCGCTGTCGTCAGCGTCGTAGTGTGGGGCTATATAGAACACAATATACATTAGTACGTGCGACCGACGTCAGCGTCAGGAATTTAGGCCTATTCATGCTACCATGATAACATAGTTGCAGCATGGCTCTACCATGTTAAAAAACTGGTTTGGCCGTGGAAGGAAAGGTAGAGATCTCCCGCCGGGCAAAGTGTTCAACCCGGGGTGCGGCCAGCGTTCCGTGTGTTATTTTGGAGCTATTCTATATATAGCGCATTAACTTCAGGACTTTGATAGCGCGATTTAGGCTTCGGTATGTTTCGCTTGTGGTAAGCAGTCCTCTATAATTTATCATCAACCCAATGGGAGAAGTCGAATTGCTATAATCGCCACACTTAGCATCCGGTACCAGATGTCTATCATTTTGACGCAATTTTATATATTTTAAATAAATCATATGACATAATCGAAGAACCGCCAATCGATGTGGAAGAAAGCTTCTCAAGTGGCAGCCTCGCAAGCGAAGTTTAGAGTGGCCCTCCACTACATGGAGTAAGATGACCTGATAAGATCTGCAGTAAGTCGATGAATGCAGGTGGCTCAAGATTTTACTTTGTGGTATTCCTTGGGGGAGGTCTATGTTTAGCAGTGGAATTGTGAAGGGCTGTAATGATGATGATATATGAGAAGGTTAATATACCTTTATCTATCGGAGGCCATGAGAACTTCCTAGAGTTCCCCATAATCATCAAAACATATCACATAGTGTGATGTCATTTGTCAAACCCTAATTTCAGAAACCATCTATAATCTTGAAGAATGAAGACATAACCAACTCCCAACTGACTTCACATCGCACATCTAAATATTTGCTCCAACATTGCCTTAAAGCAAATATTGTTGGCCCCAAGTGTATTGGCCTAACGAAGCAAATCTTTCGCACATGTAAAAACACCAAATTCTGGATTCACCAGCATTATGATAGTAATCAGGAACTGGAAAAGGATAAAAAGGATTTAGAGATGAATAAAGTAGAACAAAATGAAGATATAAGTGACATTACATTGTGTGTAGTGAAGGTAGACGACACGATTTGCGAACTGCTGAGGATCGATCTGGATATGCTTTCGGAGGTTGTTTTGGCGGCAAAAAAGGTATTTAAATTTTTTAAATGGCATTGTTAATCTCAAGTTCTTTTTTTCATTAAAGAGCCAACGTTACACTAAGATTGCCTGATATTAAGTGGTGATCTGATTTTTGAACATGGAACACTATAATTGAAAAAAAAATTTACCTGCATCTCCATTCATTTTTGTGCTACTTATTAGGTAGATATGATTATGTTGGCGTTATAAACAATGAGAACTTAACCTATTAATGAAATATGGTATAATTGTATGGTATATTTTATATTAACTCTCGTTGGCAGAGGTCTATACACTTGTGATGGGACGTAATACCGACGACAATGATGATTGAATTAAACCAATTTTACGGATTTTATCCCCTTTTACTTTTAACTTCTCTTTTTTTTTCTAAATGGTAGAATATTCACTCAAATTCCATCCATCAAAAACCATTATGATGAACGATGAATTTTCATAATTTTACTAAGTACACCAAGAAAAGCGCTATTTTTCAACCGACTTTTATTCGACTTTTTTTATGTGTTTTTTTTATTGTTTTTACCTCTGAACTTTTTTCTAGGTGAACCGATTTTGATAATTCTTTTTTTATTCGAAAACTGGTGGTTCTCATGTGGTCCCATGAGGTCCCATCCTTAATAATGCATATTAATTGACTTCGACTACATTGATGATGTTCTCATTTTATTAATGTTGAAGTCGATTGTCCAAATTGTTAAATGAAACTATTTTTTACGGTATTTATCGCGGATGCTGCTCCGTAAAAAATAGTTTCATTTAATGTGTGGTCTTCGCGTAAATATAAGAAATCATTATGTCCAAATTGTTTTAATTTACCACTTGCTTAGTTTTACATTGTATTCCATATTGAAATCCTCTAAAATAACATCACTATGAGCTGTTAATTATTATGTTTCATATTATGCCCAGCATGCCCAGTAAGCAGTAAGTGTGTATTTTCCATCAAAACGCATAACCTAGGTGGCGGTTCGACAGTAGCAAGGAAGATCTTGCGAATTTGACGATGCTTACCGTCACTCGTCTCTAGAACTATCGAATAAGTATAATATACCACTTGACTTTTTTTACCATGAGGTAATAAGTAGGGTGTACTAGTTGGAGTTTTTGAATTAGGGTGACAAACGAGTACACAGTCCTCCTGATGGTAGGTGGTTGCTGTGGCCCATAGACATCTACATCTATCTTCGTTTGCGAATTAAAATGCAGATGCGTTGCCTCTTTTCCAGCAAAATAGGTCTCCGGTTCTCTACACTCACCATACGAAACACAGCAGCATTAAGCTTCTATTTTACGCTGGTATTCTGTGAGAGCGTGGTCCTTCCCCGGTCGAGTCGACGCATTCGCGCTACAACTATACTACTTATACCTAGTCAGGTCATAAGTATTGTCACACAGTAAAAACTTTTCTTTTAGAATGCTGGCCACAAAAAAAGTTTATTGAATTCGAATTTCGAATTGTTCATGAAAATAAAACTGTATACTTTTTAGAATTTTACTCATTTTTAAATATGGAGTGGACGCTTAAAGAAGACCGTGTTGCAGTTATTGCATTGCATCATTGCGGTTACGCGCCAATTCAAATTTTTGACATACTGAAAAATTTGAATGTAACCAAAAGATTCGTTTATTGTACCATCAAATGATACAATGAAGACTCTAGTGTAGATAACAGGTCAAGAAGTGGTCGCCCTCGGTCTCCAGCAGTGATAAAAGCTGTGAAGGCGCGAATCCAAAGAAATCCCAAACGTAAGCAGAAACTGTTGGCCCTTCAGATGGGGTTAAGCAGAACCACGGTGAAAAGGGTGTTAAATGAAGACTTAGGGCTTCGGGCATATCGAAGAAAAACAGGATATCGTTTGAATGCTCGTCTAATGGACCTGAGACTGAAGAGATTTTTTGAAGCGGTACGCGGGAAAAAAATATCGGAAAATTCTTTTTTCGGATGAAAAATTTTTTACTGTAGAAGAGAGCTACAACAAACAAAATGATAAGGTGTACGCACACAGTAGTGAAGAAGCGAGCAACCATTATTCCGCGCGTCCAACGAGGTCATTTTCCATCCTCGCTCATGGTATGGTTGGGAGTGTCTTATTGGGGCTTAACAGAGGTACATTTTTGTGAGAAAGGTGTAAAAACGAATGCAGTTGTATATCAAAATACAGTCCTGACGAACCTTGTGGAACCTTTTCCTCATACCATGTTCAATAACAGGCACTGGGTATTCCAACAAGATGTGGCGCCAGCTCATAGAGCGAAGAGCACACAAGACTGTGGCTGGCGGCGCGTGAAATCGACTTCAACCGGCACGAAGTCTGGCCCTCCTCCAGTCCAGATTTGAATCCGTTAGATTACAAGATATGGCAACACTTGGAGGAAAAGGCGTGCTCAAAGCCTCATCCCAATTTGGAGTCACTCAAGACATCCTTGATTAAGGCAGCCGCCGATATTGACATGGACCTCGTTCGTGCTGCGATAGACGACTGGCCGCGCAGATTGAAGGCCTGTATTCAAAATCACGGAGGTCATTTTGAATAAACTTTTTAGTGTCATAAGAATCTATGTTTTGTTAAGTTCATTTTGGTATATAAATGGTTACATAATGAATAAACTTGTTTCAATTATTTTATATTAAACATGTGACAGAATTTATGACCTGACTAGGTATAGCTGCAGCATGGCTTTACCACGTAACCACGTAGTGAAACTTCGTTAGAATCGTTGTGATGAAACGAAAAGGCGACACTAAAAAGAGACAAACATATGCATCTATATGATTTAGCCACCGAGAGAATGAGAGAGAATGCAGTGTAGTAAGCGACAGTAGCCTAATGGCAGGGTGCTGACCGCGAACTCAAAAGGTTGTGGATTCGAATCCGCCATTCGACTACTGTCGTTAGCTACTACTAACACAAGCATTGTTACCTTATCAGTAATGATATGAAGCGAATATTAGTGATATTAATAGCATTGCTGGTATGTTTTTGTCTCGTCTTTGTCGGTGCTTTAAATATGTTTACTATAAATTTTTACTGTTTAAATAAAGAATATAAAATATTATTATTAACTTTATAGAATAAATGAAATTAATCCACTCATAACAATCCACGATTTCATAATTTCAGGCCATCTAGCGTCATACCCCGTGTAGTGGCGGGTAAGAATACCCACTACCCCATATCTTCCCGTGGGTGTGGTAAGAGGCGACAGAGGGAAACTGAGGCAAAAGATAGGCAGCAGCATCTTTCTGATAACAGCAAAACAACAATAAAAAAAACTGCGGTTGCCAACCCGCTCGCCAAGCGTAGCAACTATGGCAATATACCCCCCATGATGAAAGTTACATAGAGACGGCCCCCAGCCCCCGCCGGCGCCGCTATTCTTGGCTACGGTGGCGACCAAGGTAACGGCAGGACAGGGGGTGCCAAGAATCTCCGGTGGAGGTTCGGTTGCCACCTAAGACGACTCGACCTGGCAACATATAACGCACGCACCCTGAGGACTGACGATAAGATCCTGAACCTGGAAGAAGAGATAGACAAGTTGCGCTGGAATATTATAGGATTATCCGAGGTCCGAAGAGAGGGGGAGGATATGGTAATCCTTGAATCCGGCAACTTATTCTATCACTGAGAGGGCGACCATCTGTCCCAAGGAGTTGTCGGATTTATCGTCCACAATTCTTTCGTTCACAACGTTGTAAAGATTGAGAGTGTGTCGACGAGTGTTGCGTACCTTTTACTCAGAATCACCAAACGGTATTCGCTGAAGGTCATACAGGTTTACACACCAACCTCGGCACATCCCGATGAGGAGGTGGAGGAAATGTATGAGGATATACCTAGAGCCATGTATTCCTTCAAAACCCACTCACTATACGGTGTTAATGGGAGACTTCAACGCAAACTAGGCACAAGAGAGAACGATGAGCTGAAGGTAGGGCAATTTGGAATAGGGCAACGGAACCCAAGGAGCCAGCAGCTGGCCGACTTCATGGAGAAAGAGGGACTCTTTATGATGAACTCTTTCTTCCAGAAGGGAACCTGCCCCGACGGTTCGACAAAAAATGAGATTGACTTCATTATGACGACCAGACGACAACTGTTCAGTGATGTCTCAGTGATCCCGAGGGTGAAAAGTGGTAGCGATCACCGAATGGTTAGAGGCACACTAAACCTAAACGTTAAGTTGGAGAGGTCTCGTCTAATGAAGTCAACGCTGCGTTCCATTCGTGTTCTAATCCAGAGTCCCGAAACCTTTCAGATCGTGCTACAAAACAGTTTTAAGTGCCTAGAAGATTGCAATGCAGTGGACGATATGAATGGTAAGCGCGTGGAAACTGTCCATGCGGTCGGAGCTAAGTTCTGCAAGACCCGCCGCAGAAGAACACAAAAACTCTCCGATCACACTCGTTAATCTCATGGCTGTTAGACGGGAAATGAAGCTGCAGTTTTCAGCAGATTTCACAGCGTACAAGCAACTGAACAGACAAATTTCCAAATGCATGCGGCGGGACTTACGCAACTTCAATACAGCACGTATTGAAGAAGCGATCGAGCGGAACTAAGGCTCCAAAGTCTGCTAGAGATCTGTCTGTCATACAGAGCCAGAGGATAGTGTACTGCCCTCTAATGTTGACTTCTTCACGGTATAAAGAAGACTTCATACCGCTGTAAGAAGTATTTACCTTATTCCTCGCGCATTCTATCTTGGCCGGTTTGAAGTTAGTCGCGCGAGGCTGCGCAGATATAGTTTTACAAATAAATACGGTCACAATTACCACAGATTAAAAAATATTACATAGAATCGATTATCGTTATTATCGATTATGATTCGATTCTATATTATATTTATTGAAGTGAAAACTTTTTACAAATTTATGATTTAAAACTCAATGGAAACGATAAAGCGGCACTATAATTCCTTTAATTTTGCCACAGGATCTTTCGCATTAGTAGTCAAACTTTAAAAACGTCCAAGTTTATTTTTAGGTTTTAAAAGTTTTAAATGCATTTTTCAGATGCCTTTGGACTATAGGTTCCTCGACGCAATCTTCGAGCTCCTACATATGATACAATACATTTTGGGCCGTAACACAATATGTACAAAGTGTGAAATCAGTTGGCAAGCGTTTTTTGTATTGTATGAAGGCTGTATGGTTGTATTAAATAATTTGTTAATGTCAAGAGAGGAACTATTGGAAGATAGGTAAGTTCTTTTTTTGAAATGTTCATTAATCCGTTAACTGTACTACTGAACATAGGCACTTCAAAAATCGGGAGGATTAACCGAAAATACGATGCTTGGCAAATTGATTTAAATAAAAAGAGGACGATATGGTACTTGCATGTACTAAAAGTCAACATCTAAATGACGTATGAGACACTGGCTAGTTAATTTTGAAAATACGTTTCATTACAAGTAAAAATAAGTATGATCCAGATTTAAATTTCTCTCATTTTTTTTATATTGAAATAAAAAAATTTGTTCAGACCAGGCTTCTATGTATATTGCTAGACAGCTGATTAACGAATCGACTCAAGAATTTACGGAGAATTAACTGTAACTTAATCATGGAATAAAATCCCAATGTTATTATAGGCTGTGACGTATTCCAACTTAGCCATCAGAGGCAGAACAATGAATCCGTAGTCTTCTTTATGTGAAATTGGTTAAAGGTGTCTATGGGTAGCACTAGTCACATACCATCAGGTGGACCGGGAAGTATGTTTATCACTCCTATTTTTTTTAAACTTTCTTATATAAACCTACCTTAATTTTGAATTTTTTTAAACTTTTTGTCATGTTTTAAAAACATTTTAGACAAACAGATACTTAAGGGCGTTATAGCGTCATACATACATCTCGCTCGCGCTGCTGTCTGACTGGATCTCTTATCTCTATTGGTCTGTTATATACGAATGAGGTAAAAAATGTAGCTGTTTCCACGTGGGTAATGTTTTTAGAATATATGTATGCATTATGTGTATATGTTTGTCTGTTGCTTGCGATACTCCAGCAGCCTATATGACTTGAAGAATTCCAAGGTGTAAAGAGGTGCAAAAATGCCGTTGCGTTCGTCTTTGTCTCCTCAATACATTTTATAGCAAGAATACGACAAAGAAACAATATGGCGCCCGCTCTAAAAGTATTCATTTAATATATCTGTATACTGTAATGTCATGTGACGGCGGTCAGGCACAAAGGAAACTGAAATAATTCTATTCTTTTTAAAATCTAGCGGATACCCGGCGTGTGTTACTACGCTAAAAAAAGGAAATATATTTTGTTTATTTGTTGGAACAAAAGGAAATTTTATTTATTAACTTTTTTATATAGTGCGCAATGCATTGTTTTAGTGGTCTAAAACCATCTTCACATTATTGCGTTTCTCATACCCGTTTGTGGCGCATCGTTTGGACGGTTTCAAAGTCTATAACGGACGTAGGTCTTTTGGAAGAACTCTCCAATAGCATCCATACAAAGTCCATGTGTATGGATCACATTTTGTTTCAATAGGTGGTCATCCATCTGGATGACCACCTATTCATCTGAATACCTAGAGAGAGTATCTAGTACATAGGCTGCACTAAAAGTATCGGGAATGGAAAATTTCCACTGTTCCTGTCATATTAAAATCTTTTTTAATTGAAAACTCCTTGGTTTTAAAAATCGAATACCATTTATTTATTTAAAAAAAGATTCTCGGTCTTGTCACAAGCTTTTGTCAAACTTGTTTAGTCGTTGAGAAAATGGAATTGACTCGAGAAAATTCAAGAGCGATGATTTATTATGACTTTCGAAGTGGTTTAACACAAATACAGTGTGTTGACCGGATGATTTCTACATTTGGTGATGAAGCCCCATCCAAAACCACAATTTATCGCTGGTTTGCTGAATTTCAACGTGGACGTGTCAAGCTCAGTGATGATCCCCGTCAAGGTCGTCCAAAAACTGCAGTCACCCAAGAAAACGTTGATGCTGTGCGTAAGCTGATTGAGGAAGATCGACATGTGACATACCGCGAAATTCAGGCAACTTTAGACATCGGCATGAGTCAAATACAAATAATCTTGCATGAAAAATTAGGTGTAAAAAAGTTGTTTTCCCGATGGATACCGCATTCGCTCTGTGAAGAGCAAAAAGCGGGCTCGCGTTACTTGGTGCGTCAGAACTCTCGAAAGATTCCACGCAGGATCCTCAAATGCTGTATACAACATCGTATCAGGTGACGAATCCTGGATATACGCGTACGAACCCGAAACAAAAAACCAGTCACGAGTTTGGGTGTTCGAAAATGAGTTAAAGCCAACAAAAATTGTTCGTTCACGGAGTGTTGCAAAAAAAATGGTGGCCACGTTTGTCTCCAAAACAGGCCATGTTACGACTATTCCTCTTGAGGGACAAAGAACGGTTAATGCAGAATGGTATGCTAGCATTTGTTTGCCACAGGTCGTTTCTGAACTCCGTAAAGAGAACTGCAACCGCCGCATCATCCTCCATCACGACAATGCGCGTTCTCACACCGCACACAGAACAAAAGTTTTTAGAGCAAGAAAACATAGAATTATTAGACCATCCGCCGTACAGCCCCGACCTAAGCCCTAATGATTTCTATACTTTCCCTAAAATAAAGAATAAATTGGGTGGACAGAGATTTTCATCACCTGAAGAAGCTGTGGACGCCTACAAAACGGCCATTTTGGAGACCCCAACTTCCGAATGGAATGGTTGCTTCAATGATTAGTTCCATCGTATGGAAAAATGTGTCAAATTTCGCGGAGAATACTTCGAAAAGCAATAAATACATTTTTAAATAGTAATGTTGTGTCACTTCCTTGATTCCCGAAATTTTCAGTGCCGCCCTCATAGTCCTACCAAATAGTAAAAACCGCCTATTGCGATACCTACGGAACGGAATGGGGTGGTGGATATTCTTACGCCGTCATCATATAGCGATGGAAAAGTACATTAACATAGTTTTCAACCGACTTTAAAAAAGATTCGTTTTTTTTTTTTAATGAAGTAGAAATATTAATTTATCTAATATTAAAATTAAGTAGGTGATCCTGTTCCTGTTGATGAGCTACCATATGTGAATCATTTATTACAGTTTTCTCAAATTGTAAAACTATGGAAATTATTCCATAGTTCTGTTTCCTTAATTTTCAACCAATCAGACCTTCTTTTTATGTGTGTTACCTCAGAACTTTTTTCTACGTACGATCAAGATCTGATTAGGAGTTTTTGAGATATACTTAATAATGCATATTTAATTGACTTCGACTGTATGGTTTTTTTATGTGTCTCACCTCACCTAACTTTTTTCTGGGTGAACCGATTTCGATGATTTTTTTATTTGAAAGCTGGTGTTTCTAATGTGGTCCCATATAAATTTGATCAAGGCCTGAGCAATAGTTTTTAAGTTATTCTTAATAACTTACATTGAAGTCAGTAAAAAATGTTTTGCCTAACTCCGCTCAATGAAATAAAATAATGTCTTGCCTAGTTTGAAGAGCACCTACCGCCCTCTCTCAATTGCGTGCACTATTTCCATCACCACAAATCCCAGCACCACTACTCCCAACACCACTAACACTAGGAAAGACACCACTGACGACAATACGACGCATGTTTCGCCTCTTCACGATCCATCTGCAGGTGAAGTAGACTTTGAGGTGGCTGACCGCTAACACTCTCACATAGCGGTCAGACACCGCAGAGATATTGCACGAAGTTGAGGGAGAGCGCGAGGTGATCTTCGAACTAGGTAAGACACGTCATTTTATTTCATTGAACGGATGTATGCAAAATTATTTTTACCAACTTCAATATCGAAAAGTTATATTATATAACATACGATGCAATGTATTACAAAGTGACTATCATTTTGATGTCAACGAAGTTGACGAATGGGTCTGCTGATAAAATGAGCAGGTAGTTCAAGAGTTAGGCATCTCTAGACTGGACTCTTAAGGGTCGTAAGTCAGTATTTTGCCCTTCGATAGATAGTGTTTCAGTTATAGCAAATCTTCTCTATTTGAAAAAATCCGATTTTTACCACTGTACTAAAGTTACTCCTGACTACAACGATTGTATTTTTTTGTTACAGGTGGCCCTGTTACATGCAGTGCTACAAAACGCTGGTCTTGTGCCTATGCGAAAGAGCTATGTCTCTTGAGGAAATAGATCGAAGCGTAGAACAGAAATTAGCAGAAACAGCACACTCTATTGAAAAGTAAGTGAACGAAAATTTGAAGGAGATATCAAACGAATTTGGGTGAAAACCGCATTAAAATCCATCAAGTAGTTTTTAGGTTTTATGTGACTGAGAGACATATATGGATTTCATTGTAACTCTAATAGTAAAAGTAAATTTACAGCCTATTTACTTCCTACTGATGAGCACAAGCCTGCATTTTATTACATACGAGGTACATGTAAAAAAGAGTTTATTACAAACTATTCATTCAGCAACTTATGATGACTTAAAACTAAACAATCCATAAATAATTGATTTGGATTTTGATTTAAAAAAGGAGTTTACCTGCACTTTATTTACTTTAAAACGATTCGTAAAAAAGCACGAAGTGTTTTTAAATATAGAAACCCAGTGTTACTCGTAATATAAGTAGCGGCACGAAAGTCTAGCGGTGACAGTTATTGAGCATAAGTCGAAAATAAGGTATCATTGGGTAGTAAGCGGGTCGCGGGGCTGGCGTGCGTCGTTTATACGCGCTGATTGGCTCTTCAATTCGTGCTCGACAGTACCCATGCGCAGTTATCCCCTCCACGTTTCGTTCAGCACTAAACTTACGTGCCGCGGCTTTTACCAACACAAAAAACCTGGGAACCTTTTTTAAGTATGTTATGTATCCACTAATGTGTGCAATGACCTCCAACTTGAACTATATATACTTAACTATGAGTTGCTTACAGGTTAACGCAATCAATATGCAAAAGAAAAGCCCACGTGTCCAGAATTGCAGCCTACGCCGTTGCAGACATTTGTACATGGATCGAAAAGACAGCACCACCGAAATTGGTGCGGCAGCATCTAGAAAATTCCATTGCCTTGTTGATACAGTCCTCAGACTCGACCTATGCTATGGCATTCCTTAGAAGAGCGTTAGCCGGCTCTATCGGACAAATGACAATGACTAATATGTATTCGATGTATAAAAGATACCATAAATATGTTGGCAATTCTTGATTTAAAAAGATGTTATAAATGAATAAAAATGTGTACAGAATACCACTTTTATTTTGTTTGTATACATGTCTTTATTTATCTAAGCGCTGATTTTTCAATCACCACATAAAGTTTTTCTTCATATAAAATAAATAATTAACAAATTAAAAGTTACAGTTGTTTAAAGCAATGAAATAGTTCATTTATTTCACTTTTATATTCAGTCAGCTTATAGTTTATTTGATGGATAACTTTTATCTGATAATTTTAAAAAAAAACAGTTTACCGACTAGTTCACCTTTCTAAAGCCTCTCTCTTTTAGGGTCTGTTACGATATTTTGTTACGGCAATGGCTGTGAAATAATTTATCTTAGTCCTCAGCATTGACAACTGGTAATGCATCTGGATTTTTTCATGCTGGTTACAGTTGCAGGACATATTAAAGCAGATAATATCAAGCAGATACTATTTATTATAAGAGAAGTAATTGTATCAATAATCTTGTAAATACGTTTAATACATTTGAATAAATGAATGCAGATAACAAAATTTAAGGTATTTACTTCATATTTACCATCAAAACAAAAGACAACTAACAGCCTATACGTCTTATGGCTGGGCACATCCTTCCTCTTATTTCTCAGAGGGGATTTGGGCCAGGGAAGAGCACCACGCTGCATCAATCCATGTTGACGGACGTCACATGTTTTATAAAGGTTTTATTTATCGGACATTTTTTTATAGGATAGGGTGACAAACTAGCACACAGCCCACCTGATAGTAAGTGATTGCTGTGGCCCATATACATCTATCCTCGTTTTCGAATCAAAATGCAGATGCGTTGTCACCCGTGAGCACTAAGATGGAATGCCTCTTTTCCAGTAAAAAGTATCTCTGGTTCTCTACACTCACCATACGAAACACAGCAATGTCCTTCCCCGGTCGATCCAGCCATTCGTGCTTCAACTATACTACTAATATAGCTGCACGCCCTCACAGAATACCAGCGTAAAATAACAGCTTAATGCTACTGTATTTCGTACGCTGAGTGTAGAAAACCGGAGACCCTTTTTACTGTATATGAGGCGTTCCATCTTAGTCCTCAGATATAACAACGCATCTGCATTTTGATTCTTAATCGACGATAAATGTCTATGGGCCACAGCGTCCACTTACTATCAGGTGGCCTGTAAGCTTTTATCACCCTTATTCAATAAAATAAAGGTATGCTCTCCATAATTTTCTGTATCGCAGAGCATGTGGATATCCAGTAAGTCGGCACTTTTTATCAAACTGATAACTCGCTTACTGTAAAATTTTCGGCGATCGCATGGTTCCGGATTCTCTTATATATTATTATACTCTGGTTCCGGAGCTACCGCGGCTCTTTTGCAGAGACAGATTTTCTTATAAAGCTCATGATGATGAACAATATGACAAGAAACTAATGAAATAGGAGAAATTACAATCCGCACACATTCCCTTTATTAGGAAAAAAAAATCTAGAAATTATTTGTAAAATGAACAAAAACAACTAAGGTTTGAAGAATTGAAGGATGTAAATTTCTATCAATTTTTACGAAAAAATTAGCAAAACTTACGTGACGTGTCGTACTGAGCGCCAAAATTCAAACTGACGTACGGCTTTATAGACAGTTTCCGTCTGCCCATATAAGGGCATTTATTGAATACTCAATGTGGATTGGATAAAAACATCTTAGTCAATGAATCACTTTTCAATACGTAATCAAACGTGTGGAAATCTTTAATTTAGTAATATACTTCGCTGTAAAGGCTGACGCCTTTATTTATCTTATCTTATCCAAGCTAAATTGATTCGAGATCTCCTACATTAACAGAGCTTAGCTTCAGACTTGACGTATTTAAAAAGTTGTCGTCTTGTGTCATCCATCAAAATAAAAATTATAATATACAAAAGTTGTACATTTATCCAAATATACATAAACTATATTCTCAACGAAATCGATAAATTCAAAATTCTGTTTTTATTTTATATTTAGTAAAAAAGTGATAAAATTAGAATCGGTGTGTTGACTCATTGTACCAAATTTGACACATGCGCTCATTGGTCGCCGTAAGATAACGTATTGCCAACTGTCAGATATTCAGTGTCGTTCCGGTCGCCGTTGTGGAGTCGGTGATTTTGTAGTGGAATTTTTACGTGTTATAACATCAGAAAATGGTAAGTGAAGAAAAATAAATTACAGTGTTATTTTATTGTGCTGTGCTTTTCTACCTCGGGAAGTGGTGTAAAAGATTTATTAATATGAATTTACATTGTAATACATTCTTCTAAGACCGGTGCCGCCATATTTCGCACAACCCTTTGCAGTTTGCACGCCTTTCCATAAAAATAGTTTGTCACTGTTCAGTGATTTCGTGCCACGTGTAGTGATTTTGCGGACTTAAGTTATATGTACAGCCATTGATGTGGCGATGATTCGGTGTAGAGAGTTGTCGCTCTTTCGGTGTTGGATTTCACGCTTGTTGGAAAGGTTACTATCTTGCAACGCCTTTTATGACGAGCGGACCGATTAGTCCGTTTGGGCGTCATTTTTCGTGATAAAATATGCTGAGAGCGCGTTAGATGAGTTATCGGGCGGCCGTTTCGTAGGGGGCATCGAACTGAGGAGGCATTGCATAGCCGCGCAATCGCATAACGTTTGCCCATATATGGTATAGCGGCCGCAGTGGCCTGTCACATCCATTTCATGTCTATTTCGGGGTGTATGTAACAGTCAGACAACTTTGGGCGCGTCCCATATAATAAACTTCCTCTGCTTTGATATTCTATTTATCAATGTCAAGGTTACATACATACGTTCAGTACGTCACCCTCACTCAAATTATCGATTGTTCTTATCACACTAATTATACTAATATATTTAATAATTCATCGCCTTGCATTTGTCAATTACCTTATTTGTTCAGTATTGATCATTTAGGAACATTCGTCCCTATAACTAATATGCTGATTCACGATTTACATATCTCTTTCAGATGAATCACCATACCCTTGACTTTCTATGAACTATATGTCATAGTAAACCATAATTATTATGCAAAATTATATTACTGTATTGATATTTTCTATATTGTTTAATTTAATATAATAGATTTTTTTAATAAGTTGTCACAGTTGGTTAAATTATTAATTATATCTTTATTGAATCCTCAACATTAAGTACACATGATAAACATAACAAAACTAAGTTACAAGTATCTACTTCTACAAATTATTATGGAACTTTGACATCTGAACTAGGCAGAACCTGTATCTTAGATGTCAGTGGAAAAAGTTATGGAACTTTGTGATCGATATATTTTCAACCTTTTTTTCTTATAAGAATAACTGATTTGCCTGAAATATTTGACAAAATAAATATTTACATTATTGGTAATAAAGAGTAATTCACAATTAGATAAGCAGGTTTCCTGTTCACGGAATAGACACAATAGTTAAACAATCAAAATGTTCATTATGATTCATGGGACAAGGAAAGGGTTAAGTTGTTTATCCCATGATCCACCTCTAACTAAAGTTAATGAACCCACACAAATCTAAAAAAGATAAATAGGAAGCCTAAGCCCTAATCCTAGATAGTAAATTTACCTGGAGACCTGATATAGAGCATATCCAATTGAAATGATAAAAAAATGTTGCATTACCAAAAAAAGACCTATTAAATCACTTATGGACCCACCTGTATTAATATTAATAATTTTTAATATCACTGTTTGAACTATGAACTGTATATTGTTTTTATGTGATAACTAAATATTGTCACATAAGTCTAACCATAATAGTCCAAATTAGTAACAATGTTGATATCCCAAAATAGATCATGTAGCAAACATAATTAATATATTTAGATTACAAAATAAATTTAATAAACTAGGAAACAATATGTTTTTTTAAATACTTGTCAATCTATTTTACTTACTGTAAAGCTTTTCAATGCTATAGTAAGGTTAATTATATTGAATCCTTCATTTACTTAATTTATCATTAACTTACTATGATTTTATCATTTTAGTTGTCTGTGTGATATGAAAATATTTGTATAAGTAATAAGTAGTCCTTTAAAAAATCTGTTAAGTTGTGTTACTAATGTTATTATTTAATTTGTATGCTGAATTTGAGAACCTGGATGGAACTATTCTGAAAATACCTGAAAGAAAGTTAAAAAAGTATGGTGGCAGTCAGATGCTTACTATATTTTCTTATAATATGCCTAAGAAATTAAATAAATGACTCTTGGGCTTTCTTTTTCATTGTATTTTTATTATTTGATTAATTATGATTACCACATGGTGTATTAATCAGCATGCCTTGTTCTTGGGAGGTCCTACAAAGACATATTGGGTCCTCAAGTTTATATAAGGTAATTCCACCTATTTTATTTTACATAGGCTGTGAGAGGGTTGGCTTTGTGGTGGCAATGTAAGGAAATCCCATCGCCATATTTTGTCCAGCAACTGTCCTAAAAGGTAACGATAGGAAATGACAGTAAAATCTAAGGGCTTCCTAGATGTAAAATACATGTACCTGTGACGAGGAGCAGGGTTACAGATGAGAGATATCTGGTGCTGCAAGCTACAATCCATCTACCAAGCTTAATGATTAAGGCATATTTTCGCAATTATATGTCTTTCACAAGCTGATATTAAAGAAAAAAAACCTACCGATATCTCAAGTTTTAGATAATTTAAACAAATCTCAAACAACACTTATATTTTCTAAATATACATAAGCATATTAGAGGCTATAGTTTTTTTTTTTTTAGTAAAGTAGAATTACTTTACCTAATATTAAAATTAGGTAACATTGGTAGTGACTCATCACAGGTGATATGTGTATATATCCTGTTGATGAGCTACCATATGAATAATTTATTACAGTTTAGTCAAATTGTAAAACTATGGAAATTATTCAATAATTATTTTCCTTCAATTTTTAGGCTTCATTTAATTTTAAAATAGTTGAAACAGGATTGCTTATTTTTGTATAAGTCAGAGTTTCAGATTTTAATTGTAATCTTTGACAAAAAACAATTAATTATTCTTAAACATAATCTTTTGATAATCTAGTGATAGACGTGGATTTGACATACGTGATAGAGCCACGCTGCAGCTATATTAGTAGTATAGTTGTAGCACAAATGGGTCGGCTCAACCGGGGTAGGACCACACATCTCACAGAATACCAGCATATGGTGAGTATAGAGAACCATAGACCCTTTTTACTGGAAAAGAGGCATTCCATCTTAGTACTCACGGGTGACAACACATGTGCATTTAGATTTTTTATTGAGGATAGATGTAGATGTCTATGGGTCACAGCATCTACTTCTTACCATCAGTTGGATTGTGTGCTCGTTTGTCACCCTATCCTATAAAAAAAAAAGACAAAATGGAGTTATTTGAAGAAAAAAAAACACTGGACTAAATAGTTTCCAAGCCAGGAATTTAGAGATGGGTGTAGTTTTTACTCAATATTTGATCAACATATGATTACATATGATTTTAACAGTGGTAGAGCCAGGCAGCAGCTTTTGCTGTCGCACGAATGGGCCAGCTCGAACCGGGGTAGTACCACGACCTCACAGAATACCAGCGTGAAGTAGAGGTTTACCTCTGCATTTCACTTGGTGAGTGCAGGTGGCCGGAGTCCCTTTTTACTGGAAATGAGGCATACTATCCTAGTTCTCACGGGTTAAGACGCATCTGCATTTTGATTTGTAATAGAGGATAGATGTAGACGTCTATGGGCCGCAGCAACCACTTACTATATCAGGTGGACTGTGTGCTCGTTTTTCTCCCTTATCCTATAAAAAAAAAGATTAGACTAGTTTAGATGTTGCCTCATTTATTCATTATAGCCCATCAAGTCCATTGCTGACCATAGGCCTCACTCTGGAATACCTCATAGGAGTGATAATTACCATAGTTGCCACATGTTGTAGGTTTCTGCAGTTATTTTTAAATAATTTTAAGTTGTTGCACATCTACCATTTCATTATCCTCTATCGCCTCTTACGACACCCACGGGATGATATGGGATAGGGGATCCATTTTCGCCGCCACTACACTGCGTCGTGATACATGTATTGTATTGCTTACCAGTTTGCTAATAATAATGAATGTTACCAGTTTGCTAATAATAATGAATGATATGATAATCCACATCCATAATTCCAAATAAATAATATTTAAAATCTTTATATGTGGTTAAATAAATATATATGGTAGACCAATGCTGCAGCTATAATATAGTTGTAGCACCAATGGGTCTGATCGACAGGAAAGGAAGGAACACGCTCTCTAAGAAAACCAGCGTAAAATAGCTGCTGAATACTGCTATGTTTTGTATGGTGAGTGTAGAGAACTGGAGACCCTCTTTACTGTAGCCTTTCCATCTTGTTCCTCGTGCCTGACAATGTATCTACATTATAATTTTAACAGGATAGATTAAGGTGTCTAGGGACCGCAGCATCCATTTACTTTCAGGTGGTCTGTGCGCAAGATTATCACCCTTGTACAAAAACAACCGATAACCGTCATCATTTCGGTATAGTTGAGAAGGAGCTAATTTGTTTTTCAACTAAGCAAAACTGTGAACGTTACTGATTAATTAGTAGGAACAATAATGATTTATTACAGTGAATCATCGCAACCAGAACTCGTAAACATTAAAAGGTGATAAGTCAAAAACAAATTTTAAGCTCTATTACTTTGGATTTACGACAAAAGGTCGTAAGTTTCAAGTTCAACTCCAATTCGTCGTTAAGAGATTATCGATGATTCATAGGCGAATAGTAATTGACAGTACCATGTTGTAAGCCGATTTTTTTTACGCTATTTTTTATGCTATCGTTTGAGCGGCCTGTTTTGCTATGTGAATGTTACATGATACACAAACCGATTATTATTTGTCTTTCTCTTTGTCTTTTGGTTAATACTTTGTATTTCGTCAATCATTCATTTATTACAGAAATTCAAAATTCCATTGCTGCACATAGCCTTTCATATATTATGAAGGCGGTGTTTGGCATAGTTGCCTCGCTTAGTAGGCGGGTTTGTCTGTCACAGATTTTTTTTATAATGATAGGAAGATGCTGCTATCTCCTGTTTCTTCAGTTTCCCTTACGCCGCACTACACGGCATTCGTCAATCGCGATA